AGCAGGAGACAAATCAGTGTTTCTGGCAGAGTTTCACTATCTTGTAATCCTGCTTGCCAGTTAGGTATGACCACGGGCATGTGCTGTCGCACCTGATCTGTTTAGGTTGGGAGGGCTGGAAACTGAATCTGGGCCTCCCATGTGGCCTTAGCCACTGCGCAGCATCGACCTCCTGCTTGTGCCAACAGTAGCTGGGCTTCAATCACAACTTTTAACAATAAGGAATATTTGATGTTGATGGGCCAGCCGTTGTGGTGGTGGTGAAGGCGGCTAGATCTCATGTGGTTGACTATGCAGTTTGAGGCCTGGACCCACTGGGGCTTGAAAAATATGCCAGGTGCTGGTGTGTCCAAAAATTCTGAGACGAGGGATGGAGGAGGAAAGTTGGGAGGATTGACATTGTCATCACATTAAGGGGAGGACGTTGAGAAAGTGTTTTGACTTGAGGGTTGAAGGCATTGCAACAAAGCTGGTGTGATTTGGGCTTCAGTAGCTGTAATGTATCAAGGGCCTACGTGTTGGGTACTGAGCTTGTACTCCACATTGGGATCTTTCCTTTCATAGCAATCCTGTGACGTTAGTGTTATTTCCATCTCTTGATAAGGAGACGGAGGTTACCGAATGCCCTGTAAAAGACAGTGGGCTCTGTGAAATTAGGGACCTTGTCCTCATGGAGCACACAGTATGTACTCTGTGCATGATTGTTGAACATAAGAGTGAAACCACATGAGTGAAACCGATGAAGCAAGAACATTTGGCTGAAGGTTTGCAAGTCCAGTCAAGGGAAATAGACCTTGATTTGTGAGTGGCACAGGTCAGACTGGAGGGTTCTGCAAACTCCTTACAGAAACTACTGTGTTCTGGGCCAGCGCGTGATGTGGTGGTTAAGGCATGGCAATCCTCCTCTGAGGTGATTTCTTACTTTCCTTCTCTATCTCTGTCTGTCCTTTGAGCACACATGCCCTATGGCAAAAATCTAAAACAAAAGATAAAATTAAAAACTACCAAGTCTCTTAAGCAACAGGGAGCTGTTTAATTTCTATATTCTGTAGAGGTATAATTTGTATATGTCCAGAAACATGCACAGCTGGATGGATTTTCACCTTTTATGTATCTGTGTGATTACTGCTCAGATCCAGAGAATAATCCCAGAACCCCGGATGGGGAGCTTTTTATTTTGATCCCACAGCATTTTTTTTGGTTTTGGGTGGGGGTTGCTATAGGGCACATGTGCTTGCCAGAAAGACAGAGAGAGAAAGCGAGAAATCACCCCCCAGGGGGGGATGGCCATGCCACAATCCCTTCTCCTCCATTCTTCTCTTGGGATCTTGGGCGGGCGGGCACGCACGCACATGCGCCTGGTGTGAGTTTAAGCCACTGGGTCCGGGACTTGAACCGTAGGTCAACCACATGGGAGTCCAGTGACATAGCCATTACGCCAACTGCTGGTCCCGATCCACAGCATTTAAATACCAAGTCCCAGAGTTGACCTGGTTGGTCTATGGTGGTGTTAGGACTGGGATTATTACAAGCTGTTCCCTGGATTAGCAAATTGTTATACCTGAATAAAAACCCTAGTTCCCATCATTCAACTGCATGATGGGAAAAGAAAAAAACTCACAGTGATTATTTTATGATTAACATTTATTAATCATCACCATACCTTGGCACTTTATATGCATTACTTCATTTTAAATGCCTTACAAGTTTTTTTTTTTTTTTTTTGAGAGATTTTCACTGTAGGGCGCGTGCGCTCGCCAGACAGACAGAGAGAGAGACATAGAGACAGAAAGTGAGGAATCACCCCCCAGGGGGGATGGTCACGCCGCAATCCCTTCTCCTCCATCTCCTCTCGGGATCTTGGGCACGCACGCACACGCGCCCGGCGTGAGTTTTAAGCCACCGGGTCCGGGACACGAACCGCGGTCGACTACGTGGGAGTCCAGCGACGTAGCCATTACGCTAACTGCTGGTTCCCCCGTACAAGTTTTTGTAACTCTCTCTCTTTTAGGCATGCTGAAGGTTAGAGATGTACCCTGACTTATCTTAGTCCCATGCTAATGTAGATGGTAGCCAAGTTACAGTTAGACCCAGGATTGTCCAAGACCAGAGACAGAGTCCTTATTAATGATCTGACACTTGCCTACAAGGAATGCTCTTTTCAGGCATATTCTGACCTGTGATTTACTGGAAGAATTCTATTCTTTTTGTGACAATCAGGCCCAGAGCGATAT